TAAATTCAGTAAAAAGGGAAAAAATGTGAATGGCCTAAACTTATTATTAAAGAACCAGAGGGCTTGAAAATTTATAAAAGTTGAAATGTTATAAAATGACCTAAATATGTGTTGTATATAAGAAAATGATTTCAAATATGATATTTTTTAAAAAGAGAAATGCTTCTAGAATGGAAAGTAAGGACTTCAAAATTGTACTCCTCTGTAAAAGCAACAAGAACAATAGCAGAACAAGTATAATCAACTTTTTTAGATATTTGGAAAATAACAAAAGACTTACAACAATCCAAAGAATACTTATTCAAGAAAAATATCTGAACTTTGATAAGAATATCATGCTTTTTTTAGAAACTTGCCTTAATTCCATATTTTTTTCCTTAGCTTTGCAACTATAGTCGTTATGAAAAACAACATCCCATAGCCACTGGAGAAGGCATCATGGATTTGGATCTACCCCAAAACTTACCCTCAGAGAATTGTTGCTGTTTGACATATCAGCAGCTCACTGAAAAGCCCCATCCTCAGACCTTGTCTTTATTTGACTGATTTAGGGCTTAGTCTTTGTGACAAGCCCTTTCCCCGTGGCATTTGACATAAACAATGAGTAGCAGGTACTTACCATCACGACTCCCTGAGTCAGCATTATTAGTTGGAGGTTAGCGTGTGGCTGACCTAAAACCATAGGTAAAAGTGGTCAGTGAGATGTCTGTAGGGTATTTAAAACCTTTGATATAGATTTTTGGGAATCAAAAGTCATGAGACTCTGCACAGCTATCCCATGTCGAAGAAAGATGTGCAGGGATGTAATTTCTCCTCTTGTTGATCTTGAGAAAGCTAGCAGGAAGTGAAGGGTAAGGCAGAGCTATGAACTCCTGTCAGAGCAGGAGAAATGTACAGGGTCAGTCCAGAAAGTATCCAGCCATGTAATATAAAAAATAGAGGCATTTACTGAAGAAGATACAAGATACAAGAAACATTGTACATAGGACAATGATGCCTCAGTCCCCTTCAAAGTAGGCACCCATGATTCATCTCCATTTATAACCTCCTTGAGGAAATCTGGTTCATTGGTAGCAGTTTCAATTAAGTCATTAGCAACTGCAGCACGATATTCCTTCCACTCGGGTAGCAAAAACCACAGAGTGAATTTTGCCATGATGTGTGTCCTGCCAAAATCCTGTGTCAGAATCTAGGACACAGTAGTTTTTGGACTTCCCAGATCAGCTTCTAGTTCTCACACTGTCAATTGCTGATCTTTGCTGACTGCAGCCTGTACATGTTCAACATTCTCAGGTGTTCTGCTTGTTGTAGGCCTTCCAGAATATGAATCACTTTCAACAGATTCTTGACCATCTTTGAAGCATTTGTGCCGCACATCTATTTGCACTGCACTCACTCATTCATCCCAGAAAGCCTTCTGAATCATCCCAGTAGTTTTTGCAGAAGAATGTTCAGGCTTAATGTAAAATCTGATGCAGATGCATTGCTCTACTTGCTCAGTCATTTTGAATGCGACAGCCACACAGTACATATGCTCAGTTAATGACATCTACAGCCCCCACTGACTAGTACAGTGAAGTCACCACTGTTCATGCATGCACATTCCAGTCCACTCTCCTTGGCTGCCAGTTTACATCAATGTTGCACAAGCTGTTCTCATAATATTAACAATGGCTGGACATTTTCTGGACAGACCTCATTCTTATCACATGTCTCAGCAATTCTACTCAGATTATTGAAAATATATGTTCATATAAAAACCTGGACACCTGTGTTTATAGGAGCTCTTGTCATGCTTGCCAAACACTGAGCATAACCTAAATGTATTTCCGTGAGAAAATTGATAAATTGTGGTAACTTCATAAAATGGAATGCTAATCAGCAGTTGGAAAACAATGAATTGCTTGTATATGTTGAATACAACTTGGGTGAAACTTAAAGACTTTATGCCACATGATTGAACAGACAAATCTATAGAAATGAACAATAGATCAGTAGTTGCCAGGAATTATAGGTGGGAAGAGGAGTGGGTACAGAAGGATAGGACAAGCGTGTTTTTTGGAATGATAGAACTAGTCTGTGTCCTAATTATGGTATTAGTTACACAAATCTATACATGAATGTGAACATTCATAGAACTCTATACCAAAAGAGAAAAAAATATCAATTTCACTGTATGATAATTTAAAATTAGAATATAATTCTATTCATGGTGTTAGATGAGGACTAGACTTATGACATGGTGATTACCTTATAAAGTATATAAATGTATAATTATTATTTTGTTCACCTGAGACTAATATAATATTGCATGCCAACTGTAACTAAAAATTATTTTAAAGCTATAAAATGAAAACAATAAAATAAAAGTGTTACAGGATTATGTGGAAGGGCAGAAGCACAAATCAATCAATCAATAGGAGAAATGGGAGGAAACACTACTGTTACCTAAATTATATCTCGGGAAGAAATGACATAAATAATGTCATTGAGAATAGAGCAATTAGACAACTTGAGGTCCCAGATTGGTGTCTTCAGCTTGAATTGTCCACGTTTTCCCTCATATCAAGTGTAACGAGCAATTGCTAAATAAATACCGACTTTGGTTATTACATTATTAATGTAACCAAAATCAGACCCAATTGTATTCAAGACATCATCTATATGTAAAATCTAGATTTTATAAATGTATTTTTTTTCCAAGTGTAAGTATTCAGCAAGTGAGGGCTTCTGTATTTTATATTTTTTTAAAATCAGGTGAACGTAGGTACCTTTCTTGAAGCTTTAAAAAAATAAAATGTTGAACACCTCTTTGGATTTAATGGAAAGATCTGGTTTTAGTTATAAAGAATTTAATAGATGCCACTGTAAATGTTTTCACTGAGTAGGCTGAAACCATGTTTTTCACTATATACTTTTGGATATACTGAAGTCATAGTTACCATAGTTAGCAAGGAAAATTCTGAATTAATGACATATTCAGTATTTGGAGCAGTATCAGATGTACAATAATTTTTAAAATTATCTACTCAAAAACACAGTTTCAAATGTTCATATCAAATTTAATAGATAGCTAGAATATTATTCTCTGTAAGATTATAGGATTTGAATCAAAATAGAACACATTTATTTAACCAGTGGTTAAAAGCATGTGAAGTCAAGTAATAAAATCTCACTTTAACTGACTCTTTGTATTTGAATCTGTTTTATGAAAAGCGTATGGGTTAAGTTAATCTTTTTTTCATTTGTTTATTTTTCCTCATTGCACCCAGGGATTATTATAGGGTACATATGAGATAAAACGAGGATGACTTCTTGGCCTCATATCTATAATCTTTCCATTTCATTGTAGATTCTCATTAGAAACTTGCTTTGTAACCCTAGGTGTCAGAGACATTTGATATGCCACCATTTTCATGGTTCCGAACTGTTTCGTATCTCAGCAGGAATAATGACATGAATAGTCTGACCATTGAGATGTGAAATCAGAATGAATATTTGTCAAGGTTTTTCCAAAGAAATTAAATGTTGCTAATTTTAAATGAGTCAGAGTAATATTTTTCTGTATTTTGTTCCTTCCACAATTTAAATTTAGGTAATTTGATATACATTTTTGCAATTCACTTATTTCTGGATTATTAGACCTGCATCATCAAATAACATTTATTAAGCTTTTGCATGTGCGTAGATCCAGAATGACTGCTGTATAACAGTGGTTAAGAATATAGCATATACTCTTTCTCTTTAAAAAAAAATGACCTCCATCCAAACAAACACTTATGTGTCTAGTGAACACATCTATAGCATATTTTCATTACTCCTATCCAATTGACTCACTTCTTTGCCATTTCTAATTTTAAAAGCTTTTTGGGAATTTTAAACAGAAATTTGAATCATTAGCAGACACATTAAGAAATACATCACGCATTGAATTTTCATGATTTATTTTAGTTTAGATCAACTGCTTTCAAATTTATTTCAGAGTGTGGAAGATGTGGGAATTAAAGAAAATAAAGGAGGAAGTTTTGGAAAGGAACCAATCACTGAAAGGAGAGACAGTAAGGTGGAAATAACAGGGCTGCATAGCAATGTAAAATTGCTGCCCACATGTTGACTCCCACTCAGAATGACATATTATATATACTGTTACGTCTGAGACTCATTCGACCCAGCTCCTAGTTGAGGGTGAGGTTAACAAAAGTGTATATTCTAGTCAGTGCTTTTGTTGTTGTTAAGTCTGTTTCTTCATAGGCTGTAAGAGCTCTTTTATTACTCAGTGGAGTCACAAACAAGATAGTACACAAAAAAAGAAATCTGGTGACACTAAGTCATTTTTGTGCATTTTTTTCCCTGTGAAATGTGGCAGAGAAGATTAAAACTAACATCTAAGTGTAGCTGTACCATATCTGTTATCAAGTCATGTGTATTCTGTCTTCTATTAAGAGCAAACAAGTTAAATACATCTTTTCTCCAATGAATTCAATAAGTAAAAGTTAATTATTTACAAATCCTTTTTTTTTCTTAGTTAATTATTTGGAAAAATTTGAGGAGAGTTCAGAACTTGATTATTTAAATCATATATCCATAATAAAATAAGTTTATAATGAGTTGTTAGATTATGAAGAAAAAGTTAACTTTACCTATTAATGGGATCTTATGTATACTCATTTATTTACATATTTGTTCCCAAATGCTTCCACAGGTTCTGTACAGGCTCTGTACTTTAAACATCTTATTCTCTAAAAGAAGTTTTTGTCTTTTTTTTAAATAATCACTGCACAGTAAACCAAAGGTGCCTGTCATATCTTTTTTCTGAAAACGTGTAGGAGGAGGAAAAGTTGACCTTAGGGAGACAAGGTCATGGTCTGCATAACTGGGAACTACTTTGCAACTTTGTGTGCCGGTTTCACTCCATTTATACATTCTTTGACATTTCAGACGGCTGTTGAACATAAAGTACATATAAGCATAACTCATTGTCTGAAATTATTTTTTTCTAGGTAAACAGGATTATAAAAAAGCCCACCTTATTTTACGAGCTACCAAATTGAAAGCAGAAGCAAAGAAAACAGCAATAGGAATAAAGGTACATATACTAGATAATTTTAAAATTTGATGTATGCATGCCATTCGTTTTCTAAAACTGGTTTGGATAAATGTTGAATTCTAAATGGTTTATGACATTTCAAAATCTAAGTTGAATGCCAGAATCGAAGATTTTTATAATGAATTTATTTAATGGGCAACATCCTTCCTATCCTGAGATTTTACCAGGTCTTAACATAAAACACAATGTCACTTGCAAGAACCAGTTATACTTAAATCACAATTGATTTTTTTCTCTAGCTACTGTATATGCATTTCACTGATTTATGTGGCCTGAATCAAAAACTCTCATTTTTAATAAAATTCATGTGACAGTTGTTTAAATTTTACTTGTAATTATATATACTTAGATTATTAATATATGTAAATTTACTCTTTGAATTATTATGGTTGTCAGCACTCTCCATGATAAATTCTAATGATGTTCCCACACTTGTTCTCTTAGAAAAGCAGTGTTTTAACTACTTAAGAGGGATATATGCAGCTGAGAATGATGTTAGCAGATATTAATCCAATGTGTTAGTACGATGAAATTCAACAAAATTACATTTCCATTATTACCCGTGTCAATTCTTTGCCAAGTATTTAGAGTCAAATTAAACTACAAATAGAAAAATTAATGTAGTGGCTCCACTGTCAAGTGTGTAAAACTATAATGACTAGTACTTATATTTTATTTAAATATTAGATGTTAAAGGAGATTTTGGTTTTCTATCTGACAGACAAGAAAAATCAATTTTTCTAAGTTACAGCTGATAGCAAATGCCAAGGTATTACCACGAAGCTGTAACAGCTGTTGAGCTGCCAGATGACATATTTGGTTGTCTTCCAGAATTTGCTATTATGATTATGAAACACTACCTTCTTTTTGCTCCTGATCGCTGATTTTGATCAAGCATTGCCGTGTGATGCGGTATGTTTTTACAATGCAATCTCCTCACTTACTGCTGTCAGTTTCTAATGGGAAAAAAAAAGTGAATTGCTTTTTTGTTGAAAAGAGAGATGATTATTAATCTTTTGAAGTTTTCTTCTAATTTCATATGAAGTTTCATTCATCTTTAAAATTATTCCCATGATATGACCTTTCTAAAAGCAGTGCTTAGTTTTATCTTTCTACAATTAGTTACCTGATTATTGTGTCTTGTAATGAGAGCATTTGTTTGTTGTTTTCCACCAAAGGAACATGACACGTACTTTTATCTTCCACAATGTGGTATTTTAGTTTTCTTTTGTTTTTTTTGTTTTTGTTATCTTTTTAAGAAAACATTGGGGTGGCAAACTCCACTTGTGGCGCAATATAGTGAACAGCTGTCAAGCAGAGTTTGGAAACCAGTGCAGCCATTTGTCTATAAATATATACCGTTTTCTTATACATACCCTCTTTTTTTGTATAGTTTTTGGTATTGTTTTATTTTAAGGAAATAACTGTGTCCCCAGTATAAGTCTACCTTATGGTGCAATTGTTTGTCTTTTTAAAAGCAATGTGGAGTTTATCTTTCTATAAGAAATTTTCTCTTAGATTTCATTTACAATTTGAAGCATGAATAGAGGAGTTTCTGACATCAGAACATAACTTTTTAAAAAATAAGCTAGCACATTTAGATTTATGAACCTATGGGGGAAAAGCCTTAACTTTAACCATTGTTTACTTTGCTTGAAATTTATGTAAAGGGCTCATTAAAATAATAGGAAACTTTAAAAATCAGAACCATGGAGATGTTTTACATTTCAAATCTGGCATACTAATTAGTTTGCCCTGTCAAATTTTGATTGCGTTGTCATTTTAGCATAGGATTTTAAATAACAAAGTTTCTTTTAGCAATTGCTCTTTAATGCTATTTAATTTCCCCAGTGAGTGGTTTTATCCATATTGATAATGTCAGAGAAGCAGCTAGAGACTAATGAACATCAAACATGCTTGACTCTTACCTAGTCGATATGTTATGGCCATAATATTATATTTTATTACTTTAGTACTTATTCTTTAAAATGAACCAGAGTTATGCTCTTAAAATAATTTCAGTGTACAGAAAATATGAATAGCTGCACAGAACAGAAAGGTCAGGGTGATGAAAACCCTGAACACAAAATAAAGAGGCCTAGGACCAAACCCCTCTTGTCTCGGACCACGACCTGGCTGGGTGCACGCTGGCACATTTGGGAAGTGGAGATTATGCTGTTTGCTTCACAGGGTTGTCAGGAGAGTTAAGTAATAAAATGAAAACACTTGACATTGAACTTAGCACATCGAAATCATTTATGAGTTATTAGCAGGTTGAGAAAGTATTTCTTTGAATTAGTTATTACTGGTTTGTATTAATAAGGCTTTCTTTGGGTGTTTGTCATTGGCCTGAAGATCCCCTACCTCAGCTAAGTCTGCATTGTGCAACTACATTATATATTACAGAATGCTCTCAGTTTTGCTGTGGAGATAGTGTTTTGTAATAGTATTATTCATGTTGTAAAGTTTTCAATGCATTACATAATCTTAGCATATTTTATATATAAATCATACTTGAACCTTTGTTATTAATTTAGAAATTAAAAAAGTTGTTTGAAAAGACAAGTTGTTGAAAAGCGCCAGTGAGAGGTGATTATCAATGAGATGAGAATGATGGCCTCCAGTCAAGAGTGAAAGCGTTGTTCTTGCATTGAACATGTGTGAATGGTCATCTCTGCTGCTGAACAGTTTTGTTGTCCCTGTGTGGGACAGATGGGTTCTGCAGTTGTGTATCACTTGTTCATTACATCCTCTTAAAATTGGCTGCCATGTAACCAGATGGGTCTGGAAGCACAGCTGTGGGTATAAGAAAATAAATGAAACCTGTTTGAGTCTACTGTGCCCTTTGAGATGCCAACATGTTACAAACTTTAGCAAAGAAAAATTCACTTTCATTTGTTATAACATTGGTATGTTAGATTGGAAAATGATATCTTAGAAAAATAGTTGACACTCTTTCACCCCCCCTAGTTTTTATTCATATTTATTTTTATAGTTTGGAAATCTAAATAAATGTAATTATGAGCTACACATCTGTATAAGGTATCCATTTGTAATTTCAACTTTCAGGTTTTCATGCTTATTATAAACCATATTCACTTTAATGTTTTCAATGTTTGGTTAGCATATATTGAATGATACTGCATCATTATGAAATGTAAAATACATTCATGTAAATGCAAATAAGTTACTTTTTCATAAAATAATGCCAGGAAGGGGTATAATAAATGAATGAAAATTAGAAGGAGATATTAGGCCCTTTAGGAAAGTGAACTGGCACTATTTACTCTTTTTTCTGTTTAGCCAAATGATATGTTAATATTGAGGAAGTTCCTTGATAGTATGTATATATTTTAAAATATAGAATTTTTGAGATAAAATATGAATTTTGCCATTGTATATGTAGTAAATATTTTGGCTATGAGTGCGACATAATTGATTAATATAGTGCACGTTAAATCAGCAAAGGAAGTAGCCAGGCCCACCCTTCACAGCCGTGGTAAATCACACCATATCGCACTTCACGCACTAAGTGCTTGGCTTTGTCCCAGCACATTATGAACTATAGGTTTTAGAATATAAAAATTAGAGGTTCAACAAATAATAATTAATAAAGATGTTTAAAGAGGCATAATCTAGAAACTGGTTATAATAGTTTCTTCTCGTTAAGAAATGATCATTAAAAAAATTGCATCCCATTGTTGTAACTAATAATGAATTTATTGAAGCAAGAAACAAAATTAAACCAAATAGACTATAGATAAACTTTGTAGGCACAATCTACATTGCTTGCCCCCTACATTTTTATATCCAAACTATGAAAATTATTGAAAAGTATGAATGTTAATTTTACTATTAGTAACACACAAATTTTTAAAAGAGTAATAGAAATGACTTGCCCAACTGATGACTTGCCATTGAAGTAGTTCTTGTCAAGTACAAATAAGCTTCTTAATGGCAAAGAGTGTTAAAAATTAATGTGATTATTAGGTTCAAATTGTTCATTCTAGACTGTGGAGTTTTATGGCTATTTTAATGATAAACTGGTAACATTAGCCAGTCTCATTTCATCAAGTCTACTTTTTTTTTTCCTCAGGAAGTTGGCCTTCTACTGGCAGCTATATTGGCCCTCCTCCTGGCGGTGTATGCTTTCTTTTATCTCAGACTGACCGCGGATGTTGACCCTGATCTGGAATCTGATGAAGATTAGCTGAGCAGCAATCAATGCGTTGTAAGGAGATAATTTTTTGAAAGCACCTCTTGGGACCGGTGCTTTCTGAAATACTGAAACTACAACATCTTGAATTCTTTTTGCTGGTATTTTCAGTTTGCAGATATATCTTTTTAAATAGTTGCATAATATGTCAAGAAAAGAACCTTAACCTAGCAATGTAGCATACTGTATGCTACCAAATACCTTTATAAATCTTTCTACTTTGACAGGCAACCTGTTCATGGTGCATTTAAATAAAATGGAAAACAGATCCCAAATCTTCAGATGTGTCAGCCAACCTATGTGTATTACTCCATCACTTACAGATTACTAAATCTGTTTTTGTTCCACCTATATATGAGAAGTAAAAGTATGTATCCTTATTTACAAAAACATACTCAAACCACATTCAAAGCTGAAGAAGGAACGAGAGTCATGGGAAATTTTTCATTTTACAAAAAAGTCCTGCTTTCTTTCCAGACATATTTTGCATCATTAGAGAGACTATCTGCACATACATCTACAGTAATCTTTTTCCTCCTTTGCCAACTGCTCAGCGCACATGTGCTCCATCCGAAACGGCACCTGGATGACAGAAGCGCAAAGAGCCACATATGTCTCTAAAATAGAGTTCCTTTCCTCTTAGGCTGTCTAAACTGATGTAAATAGAAAGTTCAGTTGATATTGATTTTAATTAACTGATTACTCTATTAATATAAACTTGGAATTCTATTCTAATTATGTTGTTCTGGCTGCTTGCAGCATCGGTTTGCTCTTCTTGTTAGGGAGGTATGTCACAATCTGACGTGTAATTGTGCAGTCCCCTTCCCATAACAATAACAGAAGTCCTGCCTCCTCAGAGTGATCTTCGTGGTTTATCTCTTAAAGCGGAACAGTACAAAGTTGTTTCAAAAAATTACATTTTGTCTCTTGTCAGATGATCATGTAGAACTCTTTCATGAAAAATAAACAGAATAAAATAAGTCTCATATTACTTGCATACGCAGTTTTCTGTTTACATAATTTTTTCAAGGTATTTTGCATTTGTTGCAATATAATGACACATATATTCAATATTTTTACTGGTAATTGAATTTTTCCATGTTTTTAGAGCACATGAATGCATAAAGCTTAGAAAATGGAAAAATGGAAAAACACACATTTTGCAGTATTGTTAGCCACTACCTTACATACAGTTTTATAGAAAATGAATAGTGTGAAACATGTGCATGGTGTTTTATAATGCACACATTGTATTTATGAAGAGTAAATAAAATGTTAAGATTGCTTCCATACTTGCCAAGAGAAGAAAGATTTCATAAATACCCTCCATATTCTTTGAGACTTCTGCAAATAGTTGATGTGACTGTAGCATTATGTTCTGCAGAATGTTTTCAAGTAGCATAATTATTCATCAGTGTAAAAACAGCCAAAATTTCCAATATCCTCACAAATCATTTATGTCAAATATCAGAGGGCACAATTTCGACAGTGTTATTTACTGGATTCTTCCCCTTGAAATCACAAACTCAAGAGACAGACCAAGAGTTCCTATACACGCACCACAGCAGACCAATCCAAGTGGCATTTTTAGGAAAGGTTACAGCATTTAATGCCATGTGGTGTGTCTGTTTGTGAAGTGGGTGGCAAGGGAATATCCAAGCTGGCATTTTGGATATGATGGGCCTTTTACTTTCCCGAGTGACGTGCCACATGTCAAGAAATACTTTTTTCCCCACTTCTATCACATTTACGTGAACAATTTTCATGTAGTTAGTTCCCCTCCCATATGGTGTTAAAAAACATTCTTATTAAATAAAGTTATTGTTGATTTCAGTGGTAATTTAAATGAGAGGATATGTACTAATTATTTATTACATACCAATTCAAGTGAGATGTAGCAGAATTTGCAGTATATAAAATAGATAATTATACTCTTGGAAATGTTTGTATGTTCATTACCCTGAGGAAGAAAAAAAACTTCACTACCCTGTTCTATTCTTGAGGTATTCTTTTGGGGAAAAAATGTTTCTTTTTAAAAATATAGTTAATATGCAGTATTATATTAGTTTCAGGTGTACAACATAGTTATTTGATTAAAATGTTCTTTTTGATAGCAATAAATATTAGTCTAACCATAATATAATTATAGTCAAGTTTCATTACTTAGTTTTCTGATACCCTAAACCTATGGCTAGTCCATTTGTATAGCTGATTGATTTATAATGACCTCAGACAATTGTAAGTCCCAAAGGCTAAACTCTGATTTTAATAAATAGCAGGTAAAGTGAAACAATATATGTTTATGTACCACTGTTTTTGTGAAGTGCAAGTCTTCATACTCACATTAGCTGAGAAGCAGGCTGCCCTCTGGAAAGAAATCCCAGACTTTAGTCTGGTTTCAGTCTTTGAGGAGGTGATAGCCAGCTTGCAGTTTCTGAGGACCACACTTTTTGAGTAGTGAGTGGTGTTTGGCATAAATCGGAGACTGGCACCAGACACAAATTTTAAGCACATTTTTTTCCCCTCCGATAATTGACTGCTCAGAGAAATTTAGAAGACAAAGACAAAAAAATTATAATGACTTTTCAGAATGTTAGAGTCTGTTAACATATTCTGCCAAATAAATTGCTACTAACTCAGCAGACTTAACATATAGCCTATGTGAATGAAGCTGGAAGGGTTGCTGGTTCCTACTTTGCATATAAAATCAAGAATGTAAAATGCACTTGAGAGGAAATGTAAGAAATACAACCTTATCTAGAATTTCTTTTAAAACAAATGAACAAAAACCTGATGTAGACTCCACCCAGCGAGGTCCATGTGTTGTGGCTGCAACGAACAAATTCGCATGGACTACAGAAGTCCTGTGGAGAAAAAGGGACGGCATGGCCGCTCTCTGAGTGAGAGAGTGCCCTGCCCTCTGCCTGGACAGGCCTTTATTGCTTTTCTGGGTACATTACACCAAGGATGGGCCTCATTTACTATTCACAGGTTCGCTTTAGGTGGTTACCTTTTACAGATAACAAAGGAGAGTAAGTTGCTAATAACTACAAAGAAAAAGGATATTTGCAAATGCAAAGGAAAAACTGGTTGAACTGGTTACACTCCATCCTTGGGAGGTTTAGCCTAAATTTTAGGAACTTACTTTAAAGATATGCAGTAAGTATTTGCTGCCTCAATTCAGGGTGAGGGAGTTTTAGCAAAAAGCAAGCCTCATAGCAGCCTAGGTACAATGCAGGACTGATTCTCCACAGGAAAACTGATCCCTGGGCTGGGTTCCTGTGTGCCGACTCACTCCCCCCTGGTTTTCTGAATTGGGCTGGGCTACACTTGTCATACCACGTGGATAGGTTCCCTATAAAAACCTATCTTAGTACCAGCATAGGTTTTGTTATTGTTTTAAGGTGGCAAAATACTTGAAGATTTTCTATCTTCAGTATTTCTTGGAAGTACTGGATGGAAGGAATGGAAAGATGGAAGGAATACTCCCATCCAACCAATGGTGCAAGATTCTGATAGTATGTTCTTATTCAGTTTTGTAATTCCAATAATAAAGTGATCTACCCATACTTAATAAATGCATGTTAAAATTTCAGTTAATATTTTTAGTCCCCTTAGAGTCTGACACAGTTTTTTGTATGTGGTGGATGATCAAAATTACTTGCAGTTAATAAATTAAACAAAAATCCTATGACCATAAATGCTAACTGTTGACTTGATTAATATTATGATTTTTGTTTAATTTATTAAGTCAACAGTTAGCATTTATGGTCATAGGTTGTATTTGGGCATATATGTGTTTCATCCTGGTTTTCTTTGAGATCGAGACAACTAGCATTACATTTACTCTGGAACAAAGGAATTGCTCTTTTCTAGGAAATCAAATATTTTATTTTTATCTTAGTATTGTTAAAGACCACACTCAATGTTTTTGATATAACTTAGTATATACCTCTTCACTTATGAAAATAAAACTAAATTTTCACTATAATGTTTCTATTTATGTGAATACTAAAGCAGTATATTTTCCATGGTTTTAAAATTTATAGTCAGTGATCATTCAGTAGTGTAAGTCATGTTTTAGATAAACTTCAAAAGTAAACTTCTATAAATTAAACTTAAATTTTAAATTTTAATTTATTCATAACATAAGATTGTCAAGCCAGAGACTATCTAAAATGTTTTTTTTTCTTACCAACAATTAGGTTTCTTTATACTTACCTGAGGCTTCTCTGGGGAGATTTCTACCACTTCTCTCCTAGCAGCATGGCCCTCCTTCATTAGAATGGCTCCAGTGCAGACTAGATAGAGTAATGTTTGCTACGCTTTGTTTCTTTGACATCATATCCAGAATCAGTGCCATCTGCAGTAAAAACTGTAGCAGATGAATGCATTACCTACAGAAATGTTCTTACTGCTTGGTACAGGGTTTAGCTATGCAGGTACAGAGGGATGTGAGAGTCACTTAAAGAGCTATAGCAGTGTGGAATTATCCATAGTGAGTCAGTAAATTCATCTAAAACATGGAAATGCTGCTGTATTCTGCATTGTGCTTCCTTGTTAATTTTTTTTATCACCAGGCAACAGACTTGAGATCCTTATTTTAAGAAAAATAAGATCCTTTAAATGCCAGATTTTTTTTTTTTATGACAGCACCTCCCCCTATTCTTCATTTTTTAAAACAACAACCGATTTGGTGGGGAGGCAGCCAAAATCCGAGGTGCCAGTGCCTCTTGAGCAGATGTCACACCATTATTTTTTAGCTCGTTTGGATGAATAAACATGTTAAACTGTGAAGTTTTACATTTTAGATTTTTTCATTAAAAAAGGAGACAATCTGTTTACTGTCCTAATTGAGACAACAATCCTGTGGTTGCCAGTTTTGGCAGTCATAACAATGAACTATAAATATTTGGACCAACCAAGTGAATGGTGACTGTAAAGGCTATAGCATGTGTCAAGTTCTCTTTTTAAGGCCCCCCGTCTTAGTACAGCATTTTCCCCCTGAAACTTCTTTAAATGCAATTGTTTGTGTAAATCTGAAGGGTCCTGGTAAGCCTAAAATTGATTTCAATGTCTCATTTCATTCTAGTTTATCATCCTCTTTAGTGTTCAGTTGTCCATCTGATTGTGAAAAACTGCTTCTGTAGTTGCTCTCTTAAATGTGACAAGGCCGGTGGGTCTTCAGTGGATTGCCTAACCTCTACATCCTAGGAAGACATTGAGTTCAGACGTCTCTTTTTCTGTTTTCATATTTATCAAGTGAGATTAAAGCCTTTAAAAGTCTCTTAAATTCTAGCAATTCACTTTTTTAAAAGATTTTATTTATTTATTTTTTAGAGAGGGAAGGGAGGGAGAAAGAGAGAGAGAGAGAACCATCAATGTGCAGTTGCTGGGGGTCATGGTTTGCAACCCAGGCATGTACCCTGGCTGGGAATTGAACCTACGACACTTTGGTTCCCAGCCCACGCTCAATCCACTGAGCTACGCCAGCCAGAGCCCATAGCAATTCATTTTTAGAAGGCTTTATAAATAAACAAAGGTGAGATATAACTCCTACAGTAATCGTTGTGAGGAGAGATCATAATCTTAGCCTTTATTAGGATGCTTTACATGGAATAACAGCATGGGAGAAGTAGGTAGACCAAAGAGATATAATCCAGACATAAAAACACCTATTACTCTAGTTTCCAAACATTTGTGATCGAGATAGAAGGTGCCATTCTAGGCATCTTAACTGAGTGCTCTTGGTCTCTTCTACTCGCCTCAATCTGCCTCAATCCCAAATTGTAGGCAATCTCTAAGGTTCCTTTCTTAGGGTGTATGAACCTCACTTCTACTTCATTGTGCGTCATTATGTGCATACTATACTAACTACCTGTAGTCTTTTCCTTAGAACCATCATTAATCTTTACCTATTTTTTCAATATCTTTGACTTTTTTACTTACTACTAACCACATGCATTCATCACACAAAACTAGAGAGACTAGTACAATGAATCTCAAGTTTACCCATGTATTAATTTCAGTAATTACTTTCAATAATTACCAATATTTTGCCACTCATATATCCCCCCATCTTTTGTACCTTAAGGTATTTTAAAGGAAACCTCAGATATGGTGACATTTTACCTATAAATATCACAGTATAAATCCCTGACAAGAACTTTGGTGTCTTGTTATTTGCTGTTTCCCACTCACCCCTTGCATTAACTAGGAAGTATTACAGCTGATAGAATCAAATAGTTATTCTTTAACATGTATTACCAAGGCCATATTCAAATGTCCCCAGCTGTCTCTAAGTTGTCTATTTATAATAGATCTTGAATCAAGATCTGTACTGTATGAGGCTGTATATCTTTTTTATTCTGTAATAAACCTCTTTTTTCTTTGATGC